TGTCATCCCAAAAGCAGCCCCTGACGGTGTCTGCCTCCTGAATGAAGTGCAGATGGTGGGTGTAAGCATGTGGTCCCTCTCTCTTCTCCCTCTGCCTCACAACATGCTTCTCCCGTGTTCCAGACGAGGTACCCAAGTCTGTGATGCCATGTGAGCTACCTGGGGCTGTGACAGTGTCTTACTGTTCTGTGACAGGGCACAATGCACGTGCACGTGGGGAGCAAAGCAACTCTTTGGGTTTCTGCTGGATTTGCTGGAAAACACTTCTGAGCCTCTACTTTTCCCCACGCTTTTCATTCCTTGCGAACAGGACACCTGCTGTACCTTGACAAAAGCTGCTTTCTTCCTCTCATGCTAAATTGCCAGACCACTGGGTGCTCTGCTATAGGCTGTATCCACACCTACTGTCTCTTTCCTTTCCCCAGGAAGGACTAAACACAATAGATAGGAAGGCTGCAGGTTTGCAGCCCCACTTTAAAGCAAAATTCCACCATTTTGGCTCCTGAGAGTTCAAAGTTTGGATTTGATCCTAATCCTCTTTTTGGCTATGCAGTATTTAGGGCAACTGCATTATTGTGGTTGGGGTTTTCTCCTGGGGGGGGGGGGGGGGGGGGCTTAGTTTGGTTTTTTTTTTTGTGGTTTAAAGGTGTATTAAAGCATGGATGTTACCCATTTAATAAACAAAAAAAGTAAGAAAAAAAGCATGTGTCTTTATGGGTAGCTGCATTTGGAGTGTGACCATGTAAACTGAAGTACTCCTTCCTCTGTGCCATTGCTACACAATGTATTTATAACGCATAATGAAACACTTACAAGCTAATATACATATTCTATGTGTCAAACCTCACTGGGATTTGCCATTCCTTCCCGCATTTCCCACAGTGTAATGCTTCTGTAGCACGAGCAGTCACGAAAGCAGAATATGCTCAAGTATGGATGTATTCACAAAACCAAAGTTGTCCTGGCTGTGCACACTGTGCCACGCACGCTGCATTAGTTATTTTGTGTGAGTCAAGTATTAATATCTCCTAATTGAATTTATTATGTTTCGTAACATTTCTTGTATTATTTAAATGCAACACTGAAAACGCGTGTTGGTTTGGAAAGGCACATTAGTAATCCAATTAGAGCAGAAGCCATACCCATGGATTTGCTAGCAATCACCAAAGTATGATTTTGTTTAGATTAGCTCTGACATTCACTGCAATAATTAGCCATTGAATACTTTCCAAGTTAAAGGTTAGAGAAACACAAAAATTGAGACCAGTCGCATTGCTACAGCTAATTTCAATGTAACTATAAATTCATCCCACGTAGGCGATCAGGTTTATAGCGAGCCTGCATGCCTGGGTATATGGCCTCCACTGCTGCTTTAATCCTCCTTTCAGAGGCAAGTCATGGCTGAAATACAGGTAAACGGTATACATGGGCATAGTATACATGAATTTTTGTCTGTAGAAAGCTGGGGAGGAGAAGACTGGCCTGGGGCTGAAGCTGTGCTGGGACACCAACACTACACAACTGGCAGCATCACAGTGCATCTCTAGGTAACTCAGGCATGGCATGGGACAGAGCTTTTGTGTGATTCTTCTACCTCTCCTGTCTTCTACCTGTAATTTTTGCTGTAATAAGAGCTGTCAACTAGTTTATCAAGTAGCATGTACATGTCAGAGGCGCAAATACCCTTTATAACAGATTTTCTTCTCTCCATTTTCAGTTATGCCTACTGCTGCATGGCCCCAACCACCGCCTAAGGTACCTAAATAAGTCTTGCTAGCAGTAATGGGAGTTACTCATGCAACATTTCTTCCGCAGGGAGGCAAGCAAACTACAGCCTCGTCCTTCAGAAACTTCCATCTGCAACTGAGGTCAATGAGATTACTTCTCTGAACATGTGTATCATCTGAAGGACATCCTTTGCATTACAAGGGAAGAAAAAGCAATCCGATTTATTTTGCACAAAATGACAAGTGTGTTTGCAGATGGGAAGAAACCAAAGAGACCAACAGGATGACAGCTCAGTGAGACTCCAAACTTTGTCCACCACACACACACACAGAAGACAACCCCCAAGAAGCAGATGTAGTGACTCGCCAAACACTACAGGTTTCACAAGAAACTGTTCCCTGTAACCATTCTGCCCTGAGCTCCAAGGGAAAGATGTCACTTGGTCATTGTCCCTTATTGACCTTCATGAGCATTTGAATTCTCAGCTGCAAGGTATGAGCACATGGGCTAGGTGAACACGGTATCTCCTCCCTTCTCACTAGAGATCTGACCAGCTAATGCCTGCACAATCACTGCTCCCACTGTGGGCTGGCTCACAGGGATGTTCTAAGCCCTGCAGCTTTCTGCTGCTCCCAAATGCCCTTCTCAGGCTCAGGCAGCAAAAGACCAATTCGTGGCATGGGGTCTGGGCTCTTGCCTGTGCTGCCTCTACATCAGCTCAGCAGGCAACTGGGATGTCTGCATCTGCATCAGCTGGGAGTCACTGCAGGGTGGTGCAGAGGGGCTTGTGTCAGGGAAGATGAACCTTTAAATCCTAAGTTAATGGCATTCTTCCAAGGCTGTCCAAAAATAAACCCCCAATGTTTCAAGAACGTAATACAACTCCCGAGTTACCTTGGGAAAAGAAAGTGCAATCTAGTGCAGTGTGCCTTCTCTGTTCCTCCAGTTTCCTTCTGATTTCTTGTGCTTCTTTCAGCCTGCGTCTGGGTACTACAGGTATCTGCTTTGTTTGTGAAAATGAAATACCAGGAGGAATTGCACCTGGTGCAAGCAAAACGTGTTTAGGGTGTGATTCACAAAAGGAGCAGGCTGCCCTGGGAATCCTGAGTTGGATCATGCATAAGAAAAGAGAGGAATCAGGTGCCCAAGTCTGGCAAGTCTAAAGAGAAGCTGTCACCCCCAAAAAATCTAAAGAGCGAACAGGAAGGACTAGGAAAGACTGAACTCAAATCTCTTAAGTCCTCTTGACTCATGTACTCATGCACATGGGTGATGGGAGCCCTGACAGTGCTTTTAGGCAGAAGAGTAGAGATTTGGAGCTTGGTTTTCATGTGTCCTTGGAAAAATACTTCAGCTACTGAGTATTAGGAAGCTGTAAGGACATCCCTTGTCAGATGCTCCCTCCCGTGAGATCCACATCAGTAAACACGCTCTGAACCCTCTCATAAACTGGCCTTGATGAGCCAAGTGGGCTTAGGGATTTTTACAGGGCTTAGATACAAGCTGGGGCTCCTGTGGTTATGTCAGCTTCTCGGGATACCTGCCCTGCAAGAAATAGGGGCACTGGTATACAACTGGGCATGTACCTTGGATGTCTCTGAGGCTAAGAAGCAGCAGAATGGAGTTTATCAAGGATCTTAGGAGTAAAGAAACATTAGACCTAAGTGGACAGAGTAACAATCAGATGCCCACATCACTTGGGGAACCCAGCTCTAGGAGCTAATTCATCTCGCCCTGGAGTGAGTCGGGGCTGCTAAGGGTCCTGCAGTGGCACCACTGTGACCAATGGTACCAAAGGTACCAAAAAGACTCGGAAACAATTAAGGCATATTACAAGTCTGCCTTTGGGCTCTGAAAAAGTACAGAAATAGCAAAGAAGGTATGCTCAATTTCATATTATTTCACTGTATTTCCCAGGCAGGAACAGGTAGTTTGAAAACAATTTACAAAGATTTGAATGGGTCCCTAATCATAGTTATAATATTTATCCTTACGAATAACTTACTTAAAAAATCAAGTCCCATTCTTTTGCTTCCCTGCCTCTGCTAGTTCCAAAGATGTCCCCTGTGTCTATGGAAACGGCCTTCCTGAACTGGGTCTTTGCAGTCAGTCTTTGGGTCCTTCCCAGACCGTGACCTGCCCCTATACATCCTGCTTAAATTTATCCTTCGGTGGGCTTCAAATGAGGATCACCAAACACCCTGATCTCTGCCTGCTTCTTCAAAGGGCCACTCAAAGGTAGCATCTGAGATGGAGCACAGAGACAAACAGGCACTCAGACACAAACAGGTACTCAGACACAAACGGGTACTCAGACACAAACAGGTACTCAGACACATGGGCCTTAGGGAGTCTCTCTGCCACCAAGGAAGCTCCTGCCAGATCAATGCCTCTTGAATACCATGTCCTCTTATGCATGAGCCTGTATCAGCTAGAAAAGAACATAAACATCACTGCATGTTTCTGTCCAAATGCATCTTGATAAAAGTTGTGACTACACTTACAGTATGACACGGATCCACGTGCGATGGTTTATCTGCTGCTCGGATCCCTTCTCCTTTAGGCAAAAGATACAATCACTGCTATACTTCAGCTGGCAGACTCAAGTGTGTGAAATGTCAACTTAAAAGTCACTTTTCCAAGGTTAAATTCCAAAATCTTTTGCACTACTACAAATCTAAAGGAAAGCAAAAATGATGGATTCCCCAAACCCATGCAAGGCAAAGTAAAGTAAGTAAACAACAGAGTAAAATATCTGTATGAAATCTCACATTATGGAAATACTTTCAAACTTTTTTTACTATTCCTATTTTGTTTTCACCAGCTTTTTCAGTGCTCAACCTGGTACTCAAGGTCTTGCCTGCAATTTTCCAAGCGGTTTTCAAGAGCAGGCCATTGTCCCGTCTCAGAAGTTAAGCTTAAGTTTTATTTCTTATTTGATTCTGCTGGAATCAGCAGAAGCCTTTTTATTACCTTCCCAGCATTGAAAGAGTGGCAAAGGACAGAGAATTTAGAGAAATGATCCAGAGTTGTGCATTTATTTCTGAAAGAGACTCGCGGCAATTCCCTTGCACCCATTTGTCCTGCTGAACTAGACACTTAGACCTGGTTTGCTTCTGGTTCTTCAGCAATTGGGGCTAGGACACATTAAATATGACTTAAGATAGCAGTAACAGCCACTTCTGACTTAGTAACAACGTTCTGGGGGGGAAGCCATCTGGGGGAGTTCCAAAGCAATTCCCTTCCATATAACCTACACAGATTTGTGGGACCCCCAAAGAACAGTAAGGAAATCATTTGCATCAATCTCTGCAACTATATTGCAGAACTAGAAGATGCAAATTTAGGACCACAGAGAGTCTACATTCATTTTAGGTACTTATTTTCATATAAAAGTAATGAAATAAGCATTTCAGTGGTGATGCAAACACCAGAGGTGCATACTGGATTTTCCTGCATTACATGAAGTCAGTACCAAAGTTGACAATTGCCTGTTTCCAGTTATTCAGCAGGTAGGAATGGTTTTGCACATTTCCCTGATAATCCCCTGAAGAGTTAGGTAGCAGGTAGTGTTTCAGACAAGAATGGCTAAAAACCATCATTTGTAGACAGGGGAATTCAGCCCATTCAACCCTCTGTCACTGAAGTCAGCAACATTATTCAAGTGAAGCACAATCACCCTAAAGCTGATGTAACTGCAGTCACCTACGTGTATGTTATATACAGGCCTGTCATGAGGAACTGCTGAAGAGCACTGGGTACAAAATTCAGGGCCGGATCCAGACTTCAACAAACAGTGAGATACTGGTTTAGCCAACCCTTATCAACCCCAAGTTTGAATCTGGAGCCAAACTTGCCTACTTTATGCATTAACACAGAGTTTGGGCTCAGGCTAATGTTCTGAAGAACAACATCTTGGTTTTGACACCATCTTAACCATGCACACCATCCTTCTATAACTGCATCAGATACTGCACCAAAGACATCCAAGTCTCTTCCAAAAATCCCTTTGGGGAAAATTGTAGCATTACGGTAAAGATGTTACTGCATATTAGAGAAGACTTACAAAACCCCCAACTGAACACCCAATGAATACCAAAGCTGTCTCTGAAATGAAAACCTCCCAGTAGCTTACAGTGGTAATTCCACCCTAACCCCCTTTCTATTTTTATTAAAGAAACAAAAGGAATTTCAAAAACTCTACCTAGAATCACTCGTTTCTGCCAAGCGGTTGTTCATGATGGCCAGAGCACCCACCCCTGCAGAGAAACCATTTTGTCTCGTGTTGATACAGACATTCCTCGGGTAGCCGTTGGCCGTCTCGGACAACTGCTTTTGCAGAATGGCCAGGGAGACTTTACTGGATGCTGTGAGCTCCCTCATGGAGATCATCTCTCCAGAGAGCCTCCTCCCCTCGGTGTCGCTGTCGTACTGTCCATCAGCGTCCACTGAGATGTTGTGTCGACGCAGGCGGGCTCCTGGGGTGATGGCATTGCGACGTCCAAGGCGGGCACTTGATTTATGGCACTTTGGGCAACATCTGCATTCGAATTTTTTCAACACCCAGTTCAAAACTTGCTTGATTACGATTGAGATGACATTAAAAAGAGAGTATATGCAACATACCCCCATTAATATAAATATGAAGTTTCCGAATCTGTATAATCCCTGATTTTGGTAAGCAGCGTTTTGGCTGCTTACCAAATCTCCAAACCCGATGGTGCTGAAGGTGACAAAGCAATAGTATAAGGAGTCAATGTAATTCCATCCTTCCACTGCCGTGTACATTGCGGAGGCGCAGCAGGAAAGGGTAATAGCAAAAATTCCCAGGATCAGCATTACATGGTAAACGGAGGGCTTCCAGCCCACAAGACTGCCCACCCCAGACATAGCTGGCCCCCTTCGGAAGTTGGGAGGTAGGAGACCGCTTCTTCTCAGCTGTCTTTCATGGCATGCCTTCATGATAAATGCCAGGAGAGAGATAATGCGCTCCAAGAAGAGGTTGAAGAAAAGGATAGTCCCAGCACACCCAAAAAGGCCATAAACGATGAGGAATACTTTTCCAGCCACGGTTGCTGGTGTGGTCATTCCAAATCCTAAGGTGGAGATAAATGTGTAATGTTAATGATATAGTGTTTCACGCGTAAGCTCAGGACATATGTAACTTAACAAAGGTCCCATCCCACCGGACAAAAGACATGCTATACCTAAGTCAGCTTAGGCCAACATGAAACCAAGTTTTGTTAAGAATGAAGAAGGCACCAGTAAGCCCAACAAGAGACTAAAACTCAAGAGCAAGTAAAAACTCCTCGCAGAGATGAAAGGCAGCATATTACCACTCAGTAAATACAAGTGAAAGCATTCCTGAGTCCAAACCTCTCCAGATGAGGTGAAGAGGCCATTTCTCTGCTCCCACGTGTATGAGTCAGCATGACCTGATGGAAAGCTTAAGCTCTGTTACAAGCTGTAACCCAGCGTAACGCTTTTGTTTCCAAGGTCTGATTATACCATTCCCCGAGAAGATGAGAATTTTCATGTTGTAAAACAGGGAAAAAAAAAACAACTCCCAAATACTGAATATTGTTTTTAAAATAACAGCACTTTAAAGCCTTAACCAAATCCCAACTGCGGCCAGCCCACTTGATACCACCACGGAAGGAAAAGCCATCAGCGAGATACCCACACTGCAGAGCCGTCTGGCAGACTGGTAATTGCAGCAGGCAAAAAACACTGCTGCACAGTTAAATAGGAAAATCAGAGTATGCAAACTCAGGAAAGAGACAGCAGCAATATTAATTCACCTCCTCTTTACAAGAATTGTATTTTGACATTACTCATACACCTACTTTTCTATATAAGTAGTAGTGCCTTGTAGCTACAGATGCTTAAATAACAGCAAAAGCGATCTTAAACTTGCATGCAGATACAGTAAGTTTGCTCCATGTTATTTGCTGATACCAGTTATTTTATGAAAAATAATAACATGTATTTCACATCCTATCTCTGAAACTCAATCCTGTAACTACTGTCCTTGTCCTGCTCTTCTTCCCCATAAAAATGCTCAGTTGTTCAGGCTGCTTTTATTTGTTCATGGCTAAATGTGGTGCCACATGAATAAATAACCACATTTAATCTAAATTAATGGTGTGTGACACATCCGCATGCCAAAACATCTTCACCTTAATGTTCTGTATAAATGCTGAGCAAGTAACATATTCAGGGAGGTGAATATCAACATCTGACCACATCAATGGCAGTTTGTGAATACAAACTTCTGGTATAGAGCATAATGACATCACTAAACCCAGTTTATCATCATGATGCAGCTTTAAACAGAACCGGAAAATTAGATGACACTGCTGCTTGAAATACATTGATTTATTTTTGCAATGACTCTACTTTTCTGGGTAATTTATTTGTGCTACCTGTGTGCTTCACTGATACAGCATTCTGCATTTGTCGATACAAGAATGGGAACGCTCATGAAAAGTAAACTTGGAAATGTCTTTTCAATGCCAGGAAGGTGCACGAGGAAGGAGGTGGTTCTACTTTCACAACAGATCTGGCATGCTTGGGAACAACTGTGGGCCAGTAATTCGGACTATACTGCATCATCGGTTTCTTCACAGCAGAAACAGTCTTTTCTGCAAAGGACAGTGAAAAACCTGCACAGTATTACCAGAAAATAAAACATTAGCAAAAAGGTCCTCAGATTTTGCTTTCCGGACCCACAGCCTCTCTGTTTTGTCATGCTAAAAGACCACCTTTGAGGAGACCTCATGAAGCCTGCCTCGGGCTTCCAGGCTTAACACGCGTGACTGGGAAGCTCTCCTCAGTTCCTCCTCCTCTATGGGGTGAAGCTGTTACCTGGGTTGGGCTGGTTGCTTGCAGAAGCCTTCTCATATGATGATGAATACCCACCAGTTCCTGGTCCTTAGAAGAAGCCACGGAGCTTGTGGTTGCCAGCTAAGGATATACGGCCAGCTCGTTATGGAGAAAGCATCTGTTAGCCCATGCCTTGTCAGCAAAACATTTGAACATGTGCTTCACAGCGAGCATGTGAACATCACCATCAAAATAAATGGGTTTATTGTCACACATATGGCTAGACACATTTATTAATTAAAAAAAAGAGAAATAGTGACAGTTTGGATCAAGTTGTAAATGTGCTGAAGCTTTTTAGTATTTGCTGGGGATCATTCATGAGAGGTGGTGAAGTTTTGCATTTTTGATGAGGTTTGTTTAAGCAAGATCTTCTGACGCATTATTGAGCATGTAGCTATGCAAGGTGAAAGGACCCATCACAGCCATGAGAGTGCTAACAAATACATAAACCAGGCAAAAAGTAAGACTAGGCAAACACAGCAACTTCAGGTCAACAGCTAGCAGATAGAAGCGCACTCGTGCTTTTTGTGCAGCGTCTTCTTTTGTTAGCTGTGTTTGTCCCTTCAACACCACCTGGACCGTAAGGCATTAGTCCTGGTATGTTCTGTACAACACCTCTGAGCTCAGGCCCTGCTCTAAGATAAGTACATCATGTCGTCAGGGTGAAACAAATTCATCCAGAACTGTCTGTGTTTCCAAGAGAGATGCTCTGCATTTCTTGGTGGCCTTGACACATATTGCACAGGTACCTTGAGGTTGATTTCTGTGTGGAACAGACACAGGATTTCAACCTCCCTCATGATAATTCTGCCCTAATCTACCTCACCACTTCTTGTCTCTACAAGCTCTATGGCAGCATTAATTTCAGCTGTTCAATACTACTTCTCCCCAGACAAACAGAATTAGAGGTGATAAAAACTCTCAGGTAACACCCTTCAGCAGCCCCTCATGGGTAAGTGCTGGCCATTGACGAGTCCCTCATCCTGCCCTGCATAATAGGTTTTGTGGTTACTATTCTGCTCATCTGGATTTTTAACTCACTTAAGCTGGTGATGGAATCCAGAGGCAGTGAGACTGCACAAATATGTGATACGATTCCTGTTGCTCCTGCTTTCTTTTCTTTTCCCTATTTTCTTATGGGTAAAAGAGGTTTGATGCCAGAGGACAAAAAGGAATAGCAGCAGCTTTAGTACCTGTGAGCTCTACTTTCAGGCCAGTTGTTTTACTCTACTTTGAGATAAAAGGGAGTGAAAATTTTCCATTAAAGTTGCCTATTTACCCAGAGAATGAAGAAAGTTTTCACCCCGAAAACAGAATATAAGAAACTCTTCCAGCCTTTACTATGGCAGCGTGTCCCTGCCTCTTTCAGCCAGCCCCCAAGCTCTTCTTAACCAGCTTTCCTGCCATGAGACTTGGCTCATACATCCAAGTCAGCACAAATGAGCAATCATTTTAAATCCCAGAGTACTTTAATCATGAGACTAGCATCACCTCCGTACCATTATGCAAGTATAATGCAGTTACATTTAAAGGAATCAAAAGAAACTAAAATTGCTGAATATAACTTTTTAAACAAATGGTTTTTCAGTAATAAACAGAAACCCCCCATAACTAGAATGCTGCTTCCAGATGGAAAGAAGTTCTCGCACCGTAATGACTAAGCTCCTATCCAAGACTGGTCCCTGATAGATGGGGGTTACAGAACACAGACACATAAAGTAGGAGCAACCAATTTGTTTCATCTCTGTTCCACACTTGCTTTATTTCATGGCTTTCCAATAGTCTTGGTTGGACTTTACTAAGTTAACATACACCGTATCAAAGAACGAAACGCCATATTCCGAATTTGGGTTCTGGTGCTCCCTTCAACCCCTTTGCCAGCTGTTAATATTTCATCATCCTTGCTCGACAGTCATACCTGTGTATTTCACAACTACCTTTCATTTATTCTACAGCTCCTTACCACCCAACACACAGAAACAGTTGCCCTGGATACACGGTCACAGCTCAGAGCCGACAAAACTGCCACAGATGGAAACCTGCTGCATCCAATGCTTTTGCCCTAGGAGCGAGAATTCCACAAGGCAGTTCTTCCACCTGGCTTTGCATTTTCAGACTACAAATGAAAAACTTCCTTTCCCTTTAACATCTTTGTCAGCCTGTGTCCTGGGTTCAGCAGGTATTAAAATATTTTATTAAAATACCCCCCTTTGGGCTCAAACTGTAATTTTTTTTAGAGCTTTTCCACTGCTGGAGCCTTTAGTATAAATTTCGCTGTAAAATCACATCTCATCTCCTTTAGATTACTCTCTGGAAACAGAGCCTCTGAACATTAGTTGTCGCCCCAGCACTTTGTGTATTAAGACACTTTAACTTAGACCCATGCTATGTCTGAAGATATGAGACACCACTGCAGGTTTTAGGGCTGGCCTAACCTGTATCATACACAAGCCTGCAGTCCTTGGTGACCCATGCACTGGAATAGGTATCCCATGGAGAAAACACTGAGTAACTATGCAACTCCCATAATCATAGAATGGTTTGGGTTGGAAGGGACCTTAAAGATCACCTAGTTCTAACCCCCCTGCCATGGGCAGGGACATTTTCCACTAGATCATGTTGCTCAAAGCCCCATAGTCTCCCTGTCTATCATCCATCCATCATAGAATCACAGAATATCTCAAGTTGAAAGGGACTCATAAGGATCACCCATCTACCCATCCTTGGTAAACCACTTCAAGTTGAATAAGCAGGCTGTTCCTGGCATTTCATTTTTTTTTTTTTCCAATCTTATTAACATTCTGTTAACATGGAAGAGAGTAAAAGTGAAATGTTAAGTCTGATCCTAATGCATTTCCCTGAATAGCCCACAAAGCAAGTGGCTTGCAGTCCATAAATCTCCCCAAAGCCTACCGTAAGCAGATGGTCAGAGCTCCTGTAAATCTGCTTGGTGAACCAGGGGGAGCTAAAGCAGGTCTTTGTTCTCCCCAACTCCTCTAAGTGTTTGGTACATGAAAATGTGCACACATGCACCCAATCCGCCAGAGACTATGGGAAAAGATGCCTACTCTGTGACCTGAAAAAGCACCATGATAAACTCAATGCATGTCCAGGTCATCGCTGTTGCTCCTTGTTACTTCCTCCTCGGTGAAATACTTGTCAGGTACTTGAGACAACTGCTACTCAAAGGAGTCACACTGGCAGAACAGAG